TTCCCTCTCAAAACCATTAAAAAATTGCATGACATGACATCAATTTTTTGTGGATTTTCTTTTCTAAAAGAAAGGGATTACGTGAGAAATAGCAGCAGAATCAATAAAACATATTTTTGTTGCTTACACTTTGATCTACTTATGAAATTTGGCCGAATTACAAGAATCTTACTCCCATCCTTTATTAGTCAACTTTGCCGCATGCTCTATAGTTTCCTCGTTTGTCATGCTACCTCATCCTCCAACATTCTTAATTCTAAGTTTGATAGATGTGTTACTCTATTATCACGAAGTTCATTTGTATCCTATACGTTTGATTGATTAACTCATTGCCATCTCTATAGCCTTGACCCTTGAAATATAAAAGATAAGGAGAAAGTTCTTGTGGCATTCTCAAAGGGATTCATTAAAAGGGATGAATTTTTGAGCAGTGTAAAAGATGGAAAGTATTTTTCGGAAAAGAAACCGATTCAACTGGTTAGTTACAGTTACGAAGCCATTAATAAGACTTTTATCTAAGTGTAATATCGCGTAATACATTTGGAGAGTGATAACGAATGATACCACACGTTTGAAAATTAGCTCAGCTACACTCGATTTTACGTCAACTGTCACTTAAGCAGCCTTTCAAAAATTTGTTAATAGTTGCTGAGAATATAGTATTAGTAACTCTGGAGTTTCATTCTAATGTACAGAACATCTTCGCGCATGGTCCGAATAGGACCATGATTGCAGCTCGGCGACTTGTGGGTCACTCTGACTTTTGACTTGAGTTTTCTTTTTTGAAAATACGATGGCAAATGCTTATTTCGACTCTACGCTCTCAAAATGACTTATCGCAGAAAAGGTTATAATGCTAGCAAACGCTTCAAACGATTAAATAAAGATATAATCTTGACTAGATCATCTTCTCAAAGCAAGATAACATCACATTGGTCATTCATGTAATTTCATCCAGAGAATCGATACATCGACCATGACCCCGACATTGTCGGCCGCAACAATCTTTACCAAAGTGAGCGTGCAAGTTATTTTATGCTACATTTACTAACTAAAGCATTCTCTAAGTTGATATTACCCTACCTTTGCAAGCATGACACCATGTCTTGTGAATTAACAAGAAGATAGGC